TCTATTAAAATTACCATAATGCCCCTCTTTTTAAAATAAAAATAAATACCATTAGATTTCCCCATTCCTCTTCATTTTTGCTCACTGCATTGAGAGAGAGATTGAAAGTGCTTTGAGAAATTTCATCCTCTTTTACTTTGATTGTTCGTTGCTGACTAATATGAGTACGTCGTCTACTATTGTTGTGGTGGTTAGGAAGCTTGCAATTCCTCCATTCTTCCTCTTTTATTAGCATTGTATTCATGGGTATTGCTACCAATTCTTCTTCTTTCTCTTCTCCATGTGCTATAGCCTTTTCACTCCTTGCCTTTTTTTATTTTAGTAGCAACGTTAAAGCTCTCCTTTATCTTTATCAGCATCGTCTGTATGTTGGTGGGGAGATCGTCCTTCCTCTTCCATGTTCGATGCTAGGTTCTTTCATTTGTGTTTTGCAGCTACTGTCTTGGCATGGGAAGCTTGGTTCTTTCTCTTCTTTCTTTTCTGCTAGTTTTTTAGTGGTTGAAAGATGAAAGGAATTTGAATTTTCATCTTAGTTATAGCCTTAGTAGATAAGTCTTGCTTGAATCCATAATTTTTTTTGAAATTCCATATAAAAGGAGAGGCATTATTGAATGGGGCAAACGATATTCTTTTTCTGATGTAGATTGATTATTATAGAAGGAATGAAAATTAGGGAGTTTAATTAGTTCAAATATTGATATTGGGAAAATTTTGGAAATTGAATTGAAGAGGAAGAGGTTTGGTAATTGTTTGAATATTGGTGCCCACGAGGAGTTTGTTAAAATGTGTAGAAGAGTCAAAATGGAGTAGTTAAATATATTCAACATATTAGGGGCTAAAATTTAAGTTTAGCATTTTGTTTTACTCTCATACAATGTTGAATCTTATTATAAACTTGAACCTAATGAGGAAACTTTAACAACATGTTGATGCTTGGGAGTTTTATGGTAGGCAATTTATAATTTTTGGCACCTGTGTATGATTTGAGTTTAGAATACATAGTGTTTTGATGAAATGTGAGAAGAGAAATTGTTCTTATTTAACCGATAACAATGTTAGGGATGATAGAGGAAATACTTATAGACTAATTCAAATAACAGCCTTAACTAACAATTATATCCCAATATTTAACTAATTCTCTTATTCTATAATATTTACATATCAAATTAGGTATGGATAATAAGTCATTGACAAAATTTTAGTATAAGAGTTATTAAATTTTTGGGTTGCAACTTGTGAGCAAGGACTTTGTTTGCACGAGTGTCGGAAAGTTGTATGGAGTCTATGAAGATTGTTTTATTCAATTTTTTTTATTTTTGACTTATAGCTTATCGTATTTATTTAGACCTTTAAATATAATAAAATAAATGCTATGGCTTCAAATTAGATATTGGGGAGAGTGCACATGTAAATCAAGTTATTGTTTATTCAAAGTATTTGTTAGTGGAATATTATAACCTTGTGTACTAGAGAGAATTATGAAGGAAATGTGTTATATCCTCCTTCTCTAACCATTATTAAACTCTAAATCTCAATTAATTAAAAGATTAGATTAAGGTAATTAACATAATACCAAGATACAAATAAGTGAAAAAGTTGGGAACCCGAATTTTCAAAACTAAAATCATTTTCAAAGACCTTAAAATATACAAATAAGAGTTTACAATTATGTGAAAGCCTAAGATCATTTCAAAAATAAGTGCAAAAATTTAAAAACAAAATAATTCTATAGAAATCTTCGAGTCCATGCACCGTGACACATGCAGCACTAGCTGCGGCGTGTGGTACCGTGAGAAGAAATCTTACTACTCATACTTGCTTTGACTTGAAATGTAATCCTCTCACTTGTATCTATTCATCTAACAACCCAATGAGTCAAATCATCACACTATCACTCAAAACCTTAATCACTTCATAATTACCAATTTACTTTTGATTAACAACTAATCACAGGTGTAAGAAATTAGGATGTTACACCTGAAGGATTTATGCCTGTATTTGTGATTATGGCTATTCTTCTTATAGGAACATAATTCATGTTCCTTACATTTGATCTTCAAATATGGCTTCTTACAAGCTAAATATAACTTTGGTTTACCTTTGAGCATGGACTTAAGAAGTTGCAGCTGCTCGCAGAGCTTATCCAAAGTAGATAGAGCTAATTGATAGATTTCTCCAAGAGAGATTTGATACATATCTCTTCATAAAGCATTGATATCTCTATATGATCCTAGTTGAAGTTCATTTGGTAAAGAAGCAATGAATGTGTGTCTGAGGTTGACATCATTGGCACCATTCAGCATATAATATTTCTCAAACATTTGTTGAAAATGCTTTTATAAATCCTTACGATCTGATTAATAACATTTCATCACACAAAAATTCATGTCTACTTCTTCTATCAATAAGGTTAAAGTCCCTAAAGAATTCTTTATGAATTGCTTCAAGAAATAAGGCTACAACAAGCCAATATGCTTGAATCTTTTAATACTCATTAAGGTTTTATAACTATTCCTTCAAGTTTCACTCATTCTTGAGAGGAATTTTGAGAGTACCTCTTATAAGTTGACATCTAGCATAGTCATTTGTAAGTTAATTCAAGCACCAAATTCAATATGTCTTTCTCTCCACCTATGTGGAGATAAATCATTAAAAGTAAACCAAGGTTCAAAAGTAAGTTTAGAACTAAAACAATGGTTCGTGGGTTTGGCTAAGTTCTCTACCATAATTTCCAACTTATCATTAGGATGATCATCTACCTCAACTATTTTTGATTGAGGTTGGACTGTAGCTATCTTTGATAGGTCAACTAGATACTACTCTTCTTCAGAGTCTGTGTACTTTGTTGAAATCTCATTCAAAACAATTTAGTTTGTATTATCTTGGTCAAAGTGAACCTAGTCAAAAATAACTTTTCAAATAGAAGCAATAGTTCTTGAAAGATTTAAGGGATATGCAATCCTTTTGGCTCTATCATTTGTTTTAATGATAGAGCCAAAAGGATTTTTAATGGTTAACAATTTTTTAGGTATTTTGGTAAAGGATAGTGAAGCTTGGTGTTCTTGTGCTTTTGTATGAGAAGGTTTCTGGTGAAAAGATGGATTTTCTGGATATTATATGGGTATTTTTGGTTTTTGATTGGCTTTTTTGGTCTTTTTTAAGAACATGATATGACATCTTGATTTCCTTGCTATATTCGATCTCAGTTGGGTAAGTTAGGTGTATGGAGACATATGAAGGAAATTGTCTAGACATAGTTGGATAAGTAGTATAAGACTCATAAATGGTCATAAATTTGTCTTAAGCCAAGTCTGCTTCTATTTGTTATAGTTGCCTTTTTACTTAAGAAATTTCATTTTCTTTCCTAAAAAAATTAGGTCCAGTTTACCTTTCTTCGATAAATTTCATCATTATCATCATCATTATCCCTAAGGGGATGATTATGCTTGCATGGAGATTTAGGTTGCTTTGGCTTCCTAATTCTTTTTCTTCTAGAACCAAGATCTTCCTCATCATCTAATCATTCTAGGGATAGCAATCACAACTGGGGTCACATATATATAGGGCACAATCCCAGATAAAGTGAATATTGATGTGAGAAATATAAATTGGTTTAGCATCTGAAGTATACCACTCAATTAAAGGGTTCTCTTTATCTATAATAAAGGAGGGGGAGATTGACAATATTCTCCTAGAGATCTAATTTGGATCTTGAATTTTAGGCCTTTTGAAAATTGATTTGACAATATCATCCAAAAGTTTATATAGTTCAGGAGGTTCTTTGGTATGAACATCCTTTTGAATACCCTAAAATTGTTTTTCATAATTGTTGATTCATTCCAACGGCATCATCTAGGCAAGTTTTTCTATAGGAAGATGTCTTGGGATCTAAATGATAGATGAGTCATGCTTAAAACAATAAGTATTTATAGTAGTGGTGTTGGATTTGTTCTTAACAAATGATGATCTTACACATATATTACATTCCATACACTAGAATATAGTGAGACTATTGACGGGGTGTTATCAGTATCAGTAGACAAATCATATATTTTTTTTTAAATCAAGTAGTTTGAATCGTGAGTTGATTTGACTTACTTCCTATGCTATGCCATTACTCACTCCATTTGTGGGAGCAATATCTTCACCACATACTTCAAAGAAAAAAAGGGGATTTAGAAAATAAAATCATACTTCATGAAAACAAGGCCATGTGTGGGTATTCATGTGTTCTTTGATCCTAGTTCTATTCATTCTTTTATCAGGCCTTTTTTTTAATAATTATAAATGTTTTGGATTGGACCCAATCAAGCTCAAGAATAATTTTAGTTGTAGCTAGTGTTATCATATGAAAAAGTCTGAAGTGTACAAATATCTTGTTTTTCTAGTTGAAAGCAAGGTTTTTTTTTCCTATGAATTCCTATGAGATTGTCTGATAAATTTTATAGTAAAGAAGGGTTAGTTAAGAATTATGGAGATTGGTTGAGCTATTAGTTTGATGAGAAGATCTTGATATTAAAGGCCAAATTTGTGGCCAAGAACAAGGCATGGTGAATAAAGAGTAGAAATTTAGAACTTCTATCAAGGGCACATTTACTCACCACAATACATCACCAATAAATGGTGAGTAAGAGTGAAAAGTGAGGCTAAGAGGAGTAGTAATATAATTTAGGATTTATTAGGGTGAGGGGTGAATTAGTATATAAATTTTTTTATATAAATTTTAATTTTAAAATAATTTTTTAGAATATTCCTAATGAAGTTAACAGATTGAAATAAATTATAGATTTTTAAAATAGAGAAGAGAAATGTGTAATTAAATTAAAACAGAAGAGTAGTGAGGGTATTTTATTTCATAGTATGGCTTCATAATTCGAAAGCAGAAAAACATAATAATACAATACATTTATGCTTCCATCAAAATTTTTATACGCACCATAAAATATGCAAGCCATGACCAATGGCTCGGAAATTCTTAAGAGAAAAAACATAGTCATTAATATATTTATAAAATACAATGTACATTTTAACTGTTTAGGACCAATAAGCAAGTTAATAATTGTTGAAGAAACAAGATTAAGAGCTTCCCTGATGAAGATCTACATAAAATATGTGTAAATTATGAACATATTTTAGATCATTCATCAAATGAAACACAACACCACAAAATCTCTATCTCCCTACAAATTTTGAGATAGTTACATTGTTGATGGAACATGAGTCACCAGTTTTTGAAACTTGCTTTGAAGTATGAGACAAGGTCTGCCTGAGAATGAATGCAGGCTGGCTTGGAGAAGGAATATCAATAATCTCACTTTGAAGCATCGATAAAACGATGGCCATAGTAGGCCTCTCTTTTGCAAGTTCTTGCACACATAGAAGACCTATTTGCACGTACCTCAATATGTCCTTATGAAAGATTGGATCATATATATGTGGATCTATTAGAGGGACAATATTGGCATCAATCCATAATTTCCACGCCTATAAAAAAAGATGTGTCAAACTTTGATGTTATATTCAGTCAAGCACGGACATTTTAGAGCTTTTTGCAAGAAAAGAATGTGTAAATTATGGAGAGGCTTACAAATCCTAAAAGTGTCAAGGATTCTATATCTTCATAAAAGCTTGTGTTTTTTCTGCCACTAATAATCTCTAGCAACAAAACACCAAAGCTAAAGACATCAGATTTCTCTGAATAAAGTCCTTCAGTTGCATATTCTGGAGAAATATAGCCACTGCATTCAAACATCATATTTTGAGCTTTGAATATGCTATTGACATTATTATATTGGACAAAGGAAAAGGAGCACTTACTATGTACCAACAATTCTTGTTGTGTTTGCTTGATCTTTACCACCTTCAAAAAGTTTAGCTATCCCAAAATCTGATATTTTTGGATTCATCTGTTCATCCAATAATATGTTACTTGCCTTCAAATCTCTATGTATGATTCTTAATCTTGAATCTCTATGAAGATAGAGCAATCCTCTAGCTATTCCTTCAATTATATTGAAGCGCTTTCCCCAATCTAAAGATTTTTGTTGCAATGGATCTGCAAAATATTATTTTGGGAAAAAGTTGTTGGAAGAATGAAAAATGGTCAAAAGGGCTCTCTTCACTCCAACAATAGGCTCCTAAATGGTTATAAATGTACTGTTTTTTGGTGTTTAAGATGACCTATTGTTGACATCAAGTAAAATTAGAACTATAAAATTATTATATTTCTATAAATATTCATAAACACCTACAACGTTTTCCTTTTTCTCCTTCCTTCCTTTTGTTGAATTGTGGAAACATCCAATTTAAACTATCCAAAAAGAAAACAAAAATGAAAGAAAGAAAAAATATGTGTACTAACCAAATATATATGCATCCAAACTTTTGTTTGGCATATATTCATAAACCAATATCTCCTCATCTCCTTCTATGCAACAGCCAAGAAGTCTAACAAGGTTTCGATGTTGAAGCTTAGAAATCAATTCTACTTCATTCATAAATTCTTCCATACCTTGCCCAGATAATCTTGATAGTCTTTTCACTGCTATTTCTTTTCCATCTCTTAACATTCCCTTAAATGATAAAACAATTACTAAAGATTAATTTATTATGACTTTGAAGATGATAAGCTGAAAGCATAAAGAAAGAAATAAAAATAAAAAGATAATCACCTTGTAAACTGGACCAAAACCACCCTGCCCAAGTTTATTTGCCAAGTCAAAGTTGTTTGTTGCAATTGCTAACTTTCTAAAACCAATTAATGGTAGCTCTTGAATTTTGACTTGCATCATCCTTCTCTTGTTTTGAATTTGCATATGCATTTCCCCTGTGTTTACAACACCATTTTCCATTTAATTTCTTAATTTGAAAAGATAATTTGTTGCTATTCTAATTTATTCATTTGAAAATGTTGAAAGCGCAAATAATAGTTTCTACCCTAACAAAATATATGAATGTTGTGATAGAATTGCTTTTTTAGTCACTTGTTTATTTTTCTCTCACGATGCACTTTTTTATTTCTTTTATATATCTCAAGCAGAAGCTTAACAATCAGGTCCAAAAAAAAAAAAAAGGCAGAAGCTTAATAGTAAAAATTTTCCCCAGCTCCAGTACACCAGAACATCACCTTTTTGCTTTGACCATTTTTTCCACAAAAAATACCCAAAGGAAGTAATGAGAATTGTTCCAATTAGAGTTGATATGATGATAGGTGTTGTCATTTTCCTCTTGCCTATACCTGTATCAAAGAAATGTAGAAGAAAATTCGGATAATTATCTTCATTTTCTGAAAATAACTCACGTACACTAGCTGATTACTTGAAAGAAAACTGACCCCACTTGTGATAATTGTACTGAAGAACAAAATATAACATATATATATATATATATTAACTAGCACGTAAGTTAAGGAGTACTAGTGTACGTTCGCTTGAATATTTAACAAAACAGGATATGCAAAAGTCATGAGACCAAATCTATAATGCTTAAACTAAATTTGAAGCTTTGTTTCAAATACTATTTGGATTTCAAATACATGTTAGATATAAAACAAATTGATGTATACCTTGCTCTAAGTGGGCTAAACGCATGTAAAAATCAACCCCTCCAGCTGAGAAGTTTTGTATGTCAAGTAAATCTGCATTCCAAACCATACAGCCAAGGCTTCTATCATAGGCATAAGCTAAACAAGAGCAATTCTTCAGGCACTGAGTTTGACAATCTCCATTACTATCCTTAAAGTCATCAAAAGGTAACACTTGTGCACGATCAGGCAGTTTTACCCTCTCTAGCTTAATAAACTCATCTATTTTGCTAGCTTGAGAACCATTTTTGTCTTTCTCACACTGAAGTGTTTCTCTTCTCACACACCCGCTGGTCCAGTTCTGTCTTCCCCATTCTTCTTTGTTCTTGGGTTCAAACCCTCCCAAGCAGCTGCATATCGGCGAGCTCGAAGGATTGCAGATCCCAAATGGGCCACAATGGCCATAAATATCACAATCGGAATTCACGTTTAGCCATTCAATTTCCCATATATATGACTGGGAATTCCAACGTTGTATTCTTATTTTACCTTGATAACTTAACCTAAGAGTTAGTAATACTGAGTTGTCTGAGTAATGAAAATACAAGTCAAAATTGCCTTCCTCATCACCTTTCATCTTGAACTCATTCAAGGATACAGATGAATTCTGAGATACCCCGAGAAATTTTGTACCATTCCAAGGACCACTGCGCCAATAAGGATGATTTCCTTTCCATACGAATAGTTCAGTGACATTAGCACGAGGTTCAAGACTGCAAGAAAATCCTCCATAGGCTGCATCAGATAAAGTTTTCCATGATATAAGTTTCACTTTCTCGCCTGTTTTCTTGTTGATACTCAGTTTCATGTCTTGCAGTAATGCATTACAAGGATGCTGGAAACTCTGCCACACGAATGCTCCAGTAATTCCATCTGCGAGGACAAGGTTGCCGGAATCTAAGAGTTGAGCACTGGAATTTGATGCAACATGTGAGACATTTGTTGACCAGAGAACATGTTTTTGTCCATTGATGACAACGAGATTTCCATTCTCTGATATTGTGAGAATCCCAGAAGAATCCATTAGTGGGTTGTTTCTATTAGCTTCCCAAACAGTATGCGACTCAGACATAAACCAAATTCCTAAGTAGCGATTGGTGGAATTTTGAGGACTGAAGAATCCTAGGGTGAACCTGCTATTATTTGAGCTTATTGTTTGAGGCTCTTGGATCAACGAAGATGATGTGATGGTGTCCAAGGCACTGGCCAGAACAATAAGAGAGAACAAAATAAAGGCAAGTAACAAGCAATCAATTCCATACAACCCCATTGAAAGAACATGAAAATTATGGAAATGAAGGAAGAAAAAGGGTTTCAGAATGCTGTGAAGGGTAGCCCAAAACGTTTTCTACTGTGGTTATCCGGCATGCAAAGCAATACTATAGACATAGTGACTTAGTCTCCAAAGTCTAAAACAGCATAACCACCACATTGGACAATTGTTGAATCTTATTCTTTCGTCGATCATTTTCTACACTCCTAACCTGATAAAAAATCATTGAACAATGGAAGTTTAACACAACTCCTTGACCGAGATTTTCTCAATTTCTCTGCCCCACATTTATTATTTAATTGAAGTAGTCATTAAAGAAAGTTCAGTTTTTTCCAATGCAAAAATATATAGCATCCTTTGTCTCACTCCCTGTTTTTTAGGAAGAATGACATATAAGTCCTAAACAGACCAATTAATTTAATTTAAATTTCAAGTGTCAAATTTTAAAAATTTATAAGTTTGGCTTTTAATTTTTCACCTTTGTTGTGATGAATTTACAACTTGTGTTCTAAAAATTCTAACAGAAAAAACAAATTTATTTATTCTTTAACTATCTTAAAATTTTAAAAATAAGTTATAAATTTATTACAATAAAATTTAAAATTTAAGAGCTGATGAATTTGTAAATTTTTTTAAATTTGATACTTAAAATTTAAGTTAAATTAATTGAAGACTTTTTTGTCATTTTTCTTATATTTTAGGGTGTGTTTTCAAGAGATGAAAACAGCTTCTATTCTCTATCAATATTTAATAATATCTACTTTATGTCAGAATACACTGCTTCCTTTTTTTTTCTTTTACTTTGAATAATGAACTTTTTAAAAATAAAAGAAACAACTTAATTGAGATTACATTTTGGAATAAAAAAATTTAAAATAAGAAATAAATATTAATAACTAGTACATCGATCATTCTCAATTTTTAAGTAATTAATCAATAGCAGGTTACTGAATATGGGTCTTCCCCAGTGACGGACCCATAAATTTTGAACTGTAAAGGCCACCATACATTGACACACATAAAGATACACTTATAATACAAAAAATGTATCATGATATCACAAAAAATAAAATATGCGATATTTTTTATATGGGCCATGGAAATTATGATTATAAAAAGACTAATAAAAAATTGAATGGCATAAGAAAGTAATGTTATTAGTTATTGGGGACAATTAATTTCTGTAAGATGGGGACATGTGACACGTAAAATACATATATTTATTGGAGAAATTAAAAAAGAAATTCGTTGGAGCAGTTGGCCATTCTTTTTCGCATGTAGGTCCGTCCCTAGTCTTCCCATCATACCTAATCCAATAGTCCAAGAGTAAATAATCAAAGTAATTAAAGAATTATTCTTACCAAAAAAAAAGTCTTCTATTATCTTTCAATATGATTTTCTTTTTTACCAACTAATATTATTATTCTTGCCAAGTTATGAAAGCAAACCATATTTGAAAGAATAGATATTTTTCACAAATGACATCGCATTGCTTTGCATCTCTCATTTTTATGATCGTAGGATTGCATATATCGCAAAGCAAACAGCCATAAGCCACTTCATTCAATTTGTTGCATCTTTTATTTTGAGAATAACTCATCATGTTTCCAAATATTAAAAAAAAACCTTATAAATCATAGAATGATTTCCTAGAAGAAAAAACATCAAAGATACTAGAAATTAGAGCCAGAAAAACGGGCCGAGCCCGTCGGGCTAGCCCATTTAAGCCCGTATAACAATAGGGCCGGACTTGTAAAAAGGACTCTAAAATGAAAAATCGGGCTTAAATGGATCGGTCCTCAGAAAAAGACTCCAAAATGATAAATAGGGTTTAAACGGGCCGGCCCTGCAGGGCCGAGAGCCAACCCGTTTAAGCCCGCATACGCATATTTTTTTTAATTAATTCTCATAATTTTTACTTTTTTTAGATTTGAAAAAAAAATTAAACTAAATCTTACTCCACATCACATATCAACCCATATTTACTTAGGATGGAAGGCAAAAGAAAAAAAAATAACAATGAAGAATCACTGATCAAAAATTATATAAGTCAAGGATCATTTGTTGCCAAAATTCGAGTGGATACTTGTGAATTCGGGTTAGCCTTTATCAATAAGTATTCATTTAGATTTTAATAAAAACTTATTTTAAATTAATAATAGTTCATTGTAGCTTAATTTTCATTCAGGTTTTGACAACAATTGATTTTTAACTGATATAAATTTCATACAGAAATACTTGGCTGCTATTTTCTAAGAAAAATACAACCTTAAATCCCCTAATTCATCTAGATCCATCATAATGATTCATTCAGTTCAACATTTACTCTTCTAATTTTGATTGGGTGTTTGTCGGCTTAGCCGATCCATTGCTTATAGCATTGCTATTATTTTATTTGTGTTTTTAGTTCATTTAGATGTTATTTAGTTAGTTTTTTTTTTGTACCTTTCTTGATTGAGTATTATATTAGAATGAAGTAATTTTTTGTTTGATTAAAAAATTAAAAAAAATAAAAATAGTTAAAAGGGCCTAAAGCTCGCAGGGTCGACCCTGAACCTGCTATGTCAAGGGTTGGGCTTCAAATATTAAGGTCTTAAAGGGAACTCAGACTTAAAAGGTGTAACACTTGCCCCGAGTGTTATCCAAAAATCACACAATTCAAATAAATTAAGTGTGATTAAGGAGTTAATCCTAAAACCAACTTAGGAAACAAACCATTTAAATCACTAAGCAAATATACGATTGCAAAGTAAACATTTAAAACCTTAAAAAAAATTATAGGTTCTAACTATAGCGCACGGAAGCAAGTTAGACGAAAGAGAAATAAAAAGATACTGTCATGACAGCATTTAAATTGCTGTCATGACAGCCCTCCCGAGTCAACTTCTGGGAGGCATCGTTCCGCCATTCGACCTCAGATCGAAGTGATTTTAAAGCTCACACGTCACATTTAAAGAGTACTATAAGTATACCAAATTTCAAAAAGATCCAACGGTCAGATTTAAAATTAGATATGTTAAAAATTTGATTATTTTTGCTGTCATGACAGCTTTTTAGCTGTCATGACAGTACTTCCGGACCAACTTTCGGAGTGCACCATTTCATCATCTGATCTCCGATCGGAGTGATTCCAAAGCCCACATGTCACTTTTAAAGAATACTATTAGCATACTAAATTTTGAAAAGATCCAACGGACGGATTGAATTTTATGCAGGTTACAACATCAATACTGTAGCTGTGCTGTCATGACAGCACCTCCAGACCAAATTTCGAAGTGCGTAGTTTCTCTGTCGGATATCCGATCGACGTGATTCTAAAGCCCACACGAAGCTTGTAAAAGGTTTTACTTGTGACCCAAATTTTAGAGAAATCCAACGGTTGGATTAAAATTTGGACACCCGGATGCGAAAGTGCAGCTTTTGGGTAAAAACCATTTTCAAAATTGTCCAAATCTCATCCTAATGGTCACAAACCTGTAGGAACACTTTGGACATGTCAAATAAGAGTAAAAACACCTGAAAGAACATTCAAATGATGGAAAACCCCCATACATCAAAATTTGACCACCCGGGTGCCATTTCCCAAAATGGACCCTAAACCCCCAAAATGCACAAATCATACAAGAGTGGTCACAAATCAATCTAAATACCATGTATTTATATAAATACATATGCTAAATATTTTTACTTGGCTCAGAGCTCCTTGTGGGGCCTACACACCACTCTCTCTATCCAAGCTGTATGTTTGCCCATAGCACACCATTTGTAATGCAACCACTTTGCATTTGCTTATAAAATCACATATATATCAAAATAAAGATCTGCTTGTAATAGAAACTTGGTCTACTAAGTAAATCCATCAAAACCACACACCATAACCAAGTTTCCTAGCCACAAGTCTGCAAACAGATAAAAATTCATACACAAGCACACAATCCACACATATTCACACACACACACATAATCATATCCTACTGGCACCCTATATTACAATATATTTGCTCAAAAGAAAGGGGTTGCAGTTCTTTACAAATCACAAGCAAACCCCTAGCTTTGCTCCTTTCCCCGTCCACCACTGGATCCTTCGCCTGGATCTAGAATATTGAAAAGAAAGGGGTGAGACAACCACAGTCTCAGTAACAGCGAAATTTACATTGATTATTACAAAGTAAGCCATAATCAAATAAACGAATAATAAATTCAACATAGAATATAATTTAGCCATTTAAAATGCATGAATGCATGACCTAGGCCGGTATGGCCTTTCATGACCAACAGAATACCCCTTGGCACTCTTTAACTCGCAAGTAAACCTTATACCTACTTGTACCTCCACAGGCACAAAACATAATCTAAGACATGATCTAATCCACCGAACCTCCTATGCCCCTTCGACGTGAATCCTAAGCAGTTAAAGCTAACTCCCTCCCAGAGCCAGCCCAACTTACTTTCCATGTGAGGGCTACCTTGGCCTAGGCACTCAACCTCACACTTTATATGTTGGATTCCCTCCCCCACTGAGAGGTGTCAAACACTCAATACACTAACCACTTTAGTGTACTGAGCCCACAATACGTAAAACAACACTGAGTACTGACAGTGTGCCATAGAATATCAAAAATCCACACCTTCTCATTGGTGAACTCTCACCGAGATCATGCCTTTTACTCTTGTCTACCTTTCCTGAGTATTGACCATTCAACACTCTAAAGTAGTATAATATTTATAAATCTCATTTCCATAAAAACATTGTTATTAAACAATTAAAAAATATATTTGCACTATAATCAAAGTAGTACCCCATAATCCCTTATAAAGCACATTTAATCTTTTAAAACATGTAATGCATGATAACTAGTAATATTTATTCAAAAATAGCTAAAACAAAGTAATAAAAAATATAAATTCTCCTGTTACCTCAACCCTTTGGTACCAAAAGGGTTCCCCTTGTACAAAATAGGGCTCGACTTGTTCCTTACTTCTCAATAAGTTCCACCAACAATTTTCTACAACATATAAGTGATCCACATCACTTATCATGACAAATAGCATCAATGAAGACTATAACTCATACCACACAACTTGGGTCTATGAGCCATAATCCATCCCAATGGTCCATATATTAAACCAACCATTCAC